ATACATACATACATACATACATACATACATACATACATACATACATACATAATTTTGATATATATGTATATATATACATATATATATATATATATATCAAAATTGCTGGTGCTGCGGTTGACAAAACTAAACCACTAACATATACTGTGAGAAGGAATCTTTTCAGAAATCAAGCTGAAATGGTTAAAAAAGATGAGTGATGGCTTGTGCTTGGACCATTCAAGGAAAAAAGCAGTTTAGTGACATCTGTTGATTTAGATGACATCTTTTTATTTTTACACATATCTGTTTTTTTTTTTGTCTGTTTGTTTTCTTGTTTGTTTATTTTTTGTTACGTTGAACTCTTAGTAAATGAATATTTGTTTACAAACTCCTCATTGTCAAGGCTGCATTCATTCATATTATAACCATGGTCACTATTTCTAACCAATTTGTCCATATGGTTACAAAAATAAAAATAAAAAGACTGGAACTTTGCATCATTCATCCACTTTTTTTATGTGTAACATGTACAATATCACAGAGAAAGTAATGTTCATCTTTGATATGAAATGGCTTCTGTTGTTAGTCTCTAAAATGACTTCAATGTGTGACAGCAGGGTTTATTCAGGCAGGCGGATACTGTTGGTGCATTTCATTTATTTATTATCTTTTTTATTAAATAAAATGCTTACATTTGTATTGTTCACCGTCTGGTGATCCCAGTTTAGGTGAGTCACATTTAGGTGTTGACATATCACTGCAGATGTCTGGGCTTAATTTATTCTCATTTCTTAATTAAGAGTTGTACATTTATAATTGTTGTGCAATTTTACTAAGTTTGTGGGTATTTTACTTTCTTTCCCCTCACTTTTCAAAAGTTATAATTAAATACAGTGTCTCAACACATTTTGTAACAGAATCGCTGGATTACCCTTTTTCCACAATGCTGCTAAGTATTACTGTTTGTTAGTTCCTCTAGTGTTCATTCAGTTTTTTTTTTTTGTTTACTTTTTCATGTGCAGCTAAACATTTTTAGAGTATTTTGAAGCAAAAACAGAATCAATCTAACTATTGATTCAATTCAGTTCAATTCAGATGCGTAATACCAATTTATTTTAAATTACACTTTGGTGTATTCAATTACACATTCAAATTACAGTTTGATGATAGTATGTTCTTTAAGAGGATTCTTTTAGCTACCAAGTGAAGTTGTGTGGAGGCTGTAGCCTATCTCTCAGCCTGCAGCCTATCCAAGTTCACATCACATCGTCACACAAAGAAGAGACAGGCAGGCATATATGCCTAATTCATGGAGAGAGATCCTTAACCTTCATTTTTTATTAGTCACATCAAAATTGGGAAAGGTTTTGTGGTGTTTGCTCTGCAGAATCCCCCTCTTTAGCTGCTGTGAAATGGTCACAATATAGTTTAATCTAAAAAATAAGTGTCCCTTTTTGGCACTGTATATATATATATATATATATATATATATATTACAAAATGTATTTAATCTCTATGTGAATATCTTACAGTACATAACATGTGCTCTCTCACTCTTCACCTCTTAATTTTCCTTGCTCAATAATTATAGAATAAATGCCTGACTATGTCTTACTCAATAGGGAGTATTTAACCACTGAAACCATGAAATAACAGGCTGGGGATTAATGATCATCTGAAGTCAGTTGTATTACAAAATCTTTCCTCCTCTCTTATGGGAGGGCAGACAGCAGTGATGGGGATCCGTCTGGGGGGGAGAGAGCACTACTATGCATCGCCCGTTCTTGTGTTCACACAAAGACATAAAAGCGCCTAACCCACAGTAGATGCTCTGTGGCCATATACACACACACTGTCTCAGAAAATGGAACTCAATTAGCAGTTTTGCTCAAGGCATATTGGACCACTATTTCATTAACTAGATTAGTACAGTCTGATATAACTGTACTTAATCTTAATTAGGAAAAAAAGCCTACACTGTATTGATTGTAGCTGATCAGATGAGGGTTAATTAGATAAAAAAATATTTTAAAAAGCTATGCTACTGTTACAGAAGGCATTTGCTGTCGACTTAATGGTTTATTGCAGGTTGTTCTGTAATAATAAAAAGACTTGATCTTATTTTATTACCAAAAGGTAAAAAATACCATCTCCTTTTCTTGACTTCAACTTGTGTTCTAAACCTTATGATCCACTAGAGGGAGTCGTAGTCCTGCCTTTACTGAGCAGTGTTGGTGACTAGACCGACCTCACAAAACTTCCATTAATGCACTTGTGCAAACCCATATGGAACATTTCTACGCACAATTGAAATTGCACCATTACATACACATAGCTCTTAGGTACATTTTAATAGATTAAATTGGTCTTGGGCAATTTGTGCTGACTTGCATAATGACAGCACTCAAATTAATTCAGAATGTGTGAATTGAGTTTTTATATTACTGGATGGTGTACAGAGAGACACTTTGGGTTGTTTTGTCTCTTCTCTATTCTCATTGTGTAAAAAAGAATTGACCATACAAATATAACAAAGATGTCTACTTTGCATATGATTCTGAGCATTTCATCCTGTTTTTGCTGATGCAGTGTAATGACCTCTTTTCGTCAAAGAAAGTTTTTAGCAGATCATAGGAGGTCTGGCACAGTTTCTTTTTTTGATGCCTGCTGACCTCTAAGTGATTTCACCGCTGCTCCATAAAACAAACAGAGCAGAGCAGAGTAGGCCAGGGCAGCTTGACCGCCCCTTACTGGGAATGTGGACAAGACCTTCAAGTGCTTGGCCAAAGGGGACCATTATGTATACTATTTTATTCCATGTTTTATGCAAATGAGCCATGATAAAATGGAAGGTAAAATTAAATCAGCATGTCTGAGGCACTGAGCCAAAAAACCCTCAGGTGTACCTGATATTTTTATTATACCAGGACACAGAAGGGAGGAAAATTTGATGGAAGCCATCAATGGGCATCATCAAGTGTATGCCATTCCTGCTATCTTACCTTCTTCTACTCTCTTACACCTGGAGCATGTCTGAATGAGATAAACTTTACCTTAAATCCCAATTTTTGCTACTTAAAGTGAAAAATATTTACACAGTATTCATACTGACAGGAATTCTGGAATGCACTGTAAGGAGCTGTTTAGATTTTTAGGTATTTCTACAAAAAGCAGAACATTTAATTTAACCCTGTATATTGGGGTGGGGGGGGGGGGGGGGGGGGGGCTTTTCATGACACTGACTAAATCATCAAGTATCAGAAAACAATCTGGTCTTCCTAAACATCAACTGATGTGTACATTTAGTTCAGTTTTGTGACTCAACCATTCCTGAATATTGAGGAAGGCAAAAAAGGCAAAGGCAAAAAAAATTATGGCAACATGAGATCTAAAAGATTTAGTGTTTAAGCCTTCCAGTAAGTGAAATGAAACTAGTGAATACAGAATAATTCATATGGGAAATATCTGGTCAACTTTGGGGATACACTGACCTTCCCCATAGCAAAGTGAAAGAGTCACGTGAGTAATGAGGATACAATTAACTGTGCCAAATGCCAGAGCAGTCTATATCCAAACTGTCAAGAAACTTCCCTGAAAATACATGTGGTATAAGAGTTACTCTGGTACAAAAGTAATATAATGAAATCCATAATCTGGCATCTGTAAAATACTGAAATAACCCATTTATGAGATTACTTTACCAAAAAGGTCAATCCTTTGAGGAGGTAAGATACACTGAATATCCTTGGGTCTTTAAGATTCATTTTCTCTGTACCATGTATGTGAGCACCAATTCAATAGTAGATGCTGAGATCCTTCCCCAACACATGAATGCAGCTTTGTTACAAAATAAGAAAAGTTAAAGCATCTCCATCTGGAACCATCAACATCTGGATAGGCCAAACTAATGACCAAAAATTAAATAAAAAGCGTTGAGTACTGCTACACCTGCACTAACATCACAACTGCCATACCGCTATTATGATTAGAAATACAGCCAAACAAACAAAGAAAAACCTTTGCCAGGGACAAATTGTGTGCCTACTTTCAGCTTTTTAAAGAGTGGCAGAAAGATGATAGCTTTTTCTTTAGTATTTTCATTATAAATGAAAATTGACAAGAAAAAAGGTTTAATTAGTGCTATCTATTACTTACATAAAAAATTACATAATGCCATACTTAATGGGCAATATAAGCCTATGAGCACAACAGGGAGGTTGACCCCATACAGCAAACTGATGCTCTTTATTAGATTGCTGTATTGTTGTTTGACCTTGGTGAAAAACATTCTACACACCTCTGTCTGTCTCTCTCTTGCTCTTGGTTGTGCTGGCAGGCTTAGAGAACATAGTGGAGCATGGGCATTTTCTCCTGGAGGGTAGGAGAAAAATGCAATCAGCAATTCAATCGTGGCCATTGTGTAGCGGTGCTGATGAGCTTTGCAGAGTAGATAATGGATTAAATTATTTATTCGCCCTCCTTCTCTCCAGCTTTCATTGTTACCTCCTCTTTGTGCTGCTACAGCGGTACATGGACGTAGGTTGAAGGCCTAGATCACTCGCTGCCTTTCATAGATCTAATTTTTCTAATTAGTGCTTGAATGCAGAGCGGTCTCTCCTCCATTTACCTCCTGCCTCCACTGCAACATTCATTGTCAGATACATTCCATGAGGTGAGCTTGTGAACCTGTCAGCATCCAATTCAATGACAAAAAATACCACCGTACAACCATCGACGTCACTCCTTCCTTTGCTCTTCTCATTGAACCACTGAATAGTCTTGATAATAAGCTAATCAAGGACAGCTTCTTTAAATTGAGGAATTAGACTGCAGCTGCAGTG